ACGATCTAGAAGCTAAATCAGAGTATGACTCTCGTATTTTAGCAGTAAATTCGCCTATGATTCGTCCGTCTGCATCAATAATGTCCAGAGTTTCTTTAAAGCATATTTTCGTCACATAACCAAAATCTAAAGATTATTCCATATTTAAAATAAAATAAGCAACGCGTTTAATATTTTCTGGAATATAATTGTACAATCAGCAAAACAGAATAACCTTATGTAACTTATTAAATCTTTTTAATTTTTAATTACAAATTCTGACAGATTTTTCTTTTTTTAATAGGTTTTATTTTATTCACATAAAATAGCTGTAATTATCTGAAATGCGTGTTTATTGATCTATTTTATAATCACCTATTGAATGACAGATTTCTTGTTTACAATTATTGTTTTTCGTTTCGTTAGCTGTGTTCTTTATTTTGCGGACCATAAACTCATTTAAGTCTTCAGCATCTACTGTATAGAAATCCATATCGCTCGTATATAGAGACCTTTTGTATATAAAAAGAAAAATGGTAAGAAAAACAATCTTTTAATATTATAAAAAAGCAGTTTTGTACTGTGAATACATATTGCGAAAAAAATTATATTTGGTTTCTACAGTGATATTAGTTTAATAATTTTATTTCATTCCATACAAATTACTCAGTTGTTAGGTCAAGAAAAAAAACTAATTTGCATTACCATTTTTATGAACCATAGGATAGGGTAACTTAAAATAATATTTAATATTATAAACACAGTGTGTCACAAGCCTCAATTTGTTTTATAAGCGTCGTTTGTAATATCGAATTTTATAAAATAAAACTTACAAAATTTATTAAAACACGTACTTTAAATAAATACAATTTTATATTTAATAAAACTTTTTGTAAGTAGCGAATTTTTTACAGATCTATTTATTTTTACTATAAAATGATTTAAAGTCGCTTTAGGTATTTGTAGTACGACAATTTTGCTATTTTGATACAAACAATAAATGTATTACTAAAAATATATATATTTTCTCATAAACCAATTGGATTTTACAAAAAAAAATTGTTTAAAAACTTTTTTTGAACTTCCTCCCTTCCAAATATCAACACTAACTCAATTTTTAAATGCCTACCTTTATAAATAATTACGGTTTTAGATAGATCATATTAATTAAAAAAAATTACGTATTGCAAGCTTAATCCCAAATATCAATTAACCCAGCAATAATTTTTTTCATTTTATTTTGTTCAGCAATGTCTGAAAACCATTTTTTTCAAATTTAGTTATATTTAGACTGAATGAAATTCAAGTAAATGATTGAAAATCTGGGGTAACAGCTTGCGACGAGTCCGCAACACCACGGGATACATTTGTATGTCTGTTCTGCAGAGCACCGTCCGCTCCTTTTTTTCCGCCTCGATTCCGAAGCCTTGATACCATTCGAAATATTTTTCGTTGTTAACCCAAAATAAACACTTGGTTTGTGACAATGGTAACCACGGTACTCGAATGGTAGATGATGGTATTTGTAGAGCGCTTAATTATCAGTAATTTGCGGCCTTGAACGATATGATAGCATTAAATGCCGATGAGTTATAGAAAATTACATGTTATTTAAATGGGAAATCTTCTCACATTATGGGAGAGTACTTAATATTAATATTAAGGGCTCATATTTTCAGGGAATTTTTTTTGGCGTTTACAATAAAATTTTAGGGTGGGAGCTAAAAAAATAAAAATAATTGCAAAAAATAATAGATAGATAATATGTTACAGCATTTTGTACACCGGACCAAATATATTGTCATAATATTTCAGTTCATACGTTTTTATTAAGAAAACAATACTATAGTTAACCTTGTAAACAAAAAAAAATAAAGAAAAGGAAATAGTGTTGTTCGTAATAGGTTGTGTGGCGGCGGGTTCTTTGATTTCAACGATAAAGCACCACCACTTTAACCAAGGACACCGCGTAGGAAAGCAGATAACGCGTGGCCTAGAGTGTCATTCGAACGCCAGCCCGGCGCCGATCCCGTACCGGTTGGTCCTGACGTTGAGCAAAAAACTGAACGACAACGCTATTCGATCAGTGAGTCGCGTCTCCACTTGACTGCTGACAATGCCTTCGGTGCTGACCGCGGCCTTGAGTATATTTTGGTTGCCAACCAGTGCCCGAAATCCCAGTTTGGTCTCGGCCTCCCTTTTGGGCACGTTCCACCGCATGGTAATTCCGGTCTGGAAAACATCAGAGCAGTGTCTGTAGTAGCCGAGCTTCAAGCCCGTGTTGAACGCCGTTAAGTCAACCCGGCCGCTCATTATGTAATCGGGCCCGCTGTACTTGGCCAAAAGACGCGGCCCGAAGGTTGATAAGATACTGCGGTCGTCGGCACAGGGTCTACGTGGGTTCACCGTGCTGGCGTGCAACCACACCAGCTCAAAACCCAACGCTAACCGCTCCGTCATCGCCTAATGACGAAAAAGCACAGTAGTAATAATTAGTTGAACCAGAGCAAGCCGAGAGAAACGGATTGCTCCAAAACATTGTCTTTCCATTTTAGGAAATAGTTATAGTGTCTTAAATATAGCACTTTTTAGTAAAAAAAAAAAAAACAAATTTTAAAAAAAGGTCAAGGATATCATAAAAAAAACAGTTACATTAAAATTAAGAAACGGGTTCGAGAATTGTCCCCATAATAGCACCGGAAATTGGGAAGCTAATGGAAACCTCCCGTTATTTTACCGGCGTCAATTAGAGCTTCTCATCTTGGCAGTGCTACTAAGGGTGTTCGTGAATACCAAATTGTTTTAAGACTTTTATCGTATTTAAACTTTTAAAGTTGTAGTCGAAAATTTAATGTTAGGAACTTTTCGATTTCTAAATTGGAATTTTCGATTCTTTCAAAAGCTCCATCAAAGTCTACATGCCAAAGCATCCTCTAAAAAGAAGTTGAAATCTTAAAATTTAGAACTCAAAATACAATTGGACAAATTCTTTTGGTCGATTTTCCCCATTCATGCGCTACTGTTTGCATACTTGGAAATATTGTACGCCGTAGTCGGACCGCACCGGATCGGCGAACAGCGACACGGTTCGTTTCGGGACCTTGTAGTTGAGCCGCAGCTTGGCCGTGACGGGAAAAGCCCACCGTCGGGTCTGCATCGTGACAGACATGTCCACACGTTGGCTGGTCGAACCCACCTCGGCGTTCCAGTTGCCGGCCAGCGGGTCGGCGTCGCACGTCATCAACGTGCACCACGTGTCCGCCGGCCGTTTGTAAAACAAGGACAGCCAATACGGGCCGGGTTTGGTGGAGCTCACGTTGAACGTGTGCGTGTTCACAATCTCGGAGGAGCCGGTGCACGAGTTCGGCACCCGGAGCACCGCTTGCGCCCTGAACCCGTCGAAGTTCACTGGCATCACGTCCTCGCAGAAGTTGAACAGGTCCAGACACTTGCCCGGGTGGTACGTGGGCAATCCGCTCCGGGACCGCTCGAAACTAGAACACAACGCTTTCGACTTCTTCCCCAGCAACGTGGCCGCCGCGTCCGTGTTCATGGACGCCGCCAAGCCTGTCGTAACCGCGGTTGCAGGCGCCCCGGCCTCAGGCGCCGGGGCCGGGGTCGCCGGGGCATCTGTGTTCGTGGGCGTCGCGAGCGGAACGGATTTCGTATGACCCGAATTCGGGGTTTCTGGTTTTTTGTTGAAGATGATAGCACTGTGAAACATATTGGACAACCGAAACATAATGTCCCGAGTACAATGTAAATTACGTATAAATACTACTATGTAAGTGTCCTCGTAGGCTAACTGTCGCTGTTGGAAACTAGACCGAAACGTTACCATGGAATCCGATGTTAGCTGTTCAGGCCATGGTTATATAGGGGACAAATGGTTTGGAAAACACGGTTCATTTTCAACCTTGGATTAAGTCAGAATGAGCCCCCCCTCCAGAGGGGTAAGAGTCAGAAAAATTTTAGGAATCATCATTTTTTTTCTTTTTTTTTAATAATATAAGTGTAATTTTTTAAAAACACCTAAAATGTAAAAATAAATTGATTTAAATAATATATTTTTTTTAAATATTTTCAACTTAATTAGCCGTGTTATTGAACGAAAGTTACGAAGATACAAACGTTGTGTATACGTTCTGGAAATATTTCTAATATGTAAGTCCATAAATATAGTTACTAGATTTATTACGAATTAGCATTAAAATAGCATGATGAAATTCTGATGGTTTTTGTTCAACCTACACCTTATTCGATGGGTTCATACATTTTTTCGTGCTATTTTTTTGGAGATAAGAGGGGCAAACATTTTTAAGCGATTTTAAAATAAACTGAAGGAATTTATCTCTTATGAATGTGTTGAAGCTTTCGCGGATTGAAATATCACATGAATAATTTATCTCTTGTTTTTCTTGAGCGTACCAACAAAAGTTATTTGTTTTTGAAGCAAATAATCGGCCAAATGAATGCTCGTGTAAACTGTTGAAATTTTGAAAATTATAAGTTTCAATAATTTTTTCACTGAGGTCATTGTCACCATCACCTTCACAATAATTGTCCACTTCTTCATCTGATAACTCTTGCGACATAATGCGAATCAGCCATGTTAAATTAATTAGATGAATATCACAAAAATATATAATTAAAAATACAAATGTTTTAATAATCAAGTGAATAATAATAATACCTCGGGAGTAAATCGAGATATCAGATGTCTTATAATCTGTTGTATTCATATATAATTCTAAATCTGAAGTATTTAAGGAATCGTCATAACTATCTGTTGACCCAATCGTAGACTTCAGCAGGCTTACACATTGGTAGAGGTTTTGAAAAGTGGTTTCTACTTTCTAAGCTTCGGGGCCAGTAAGGTACATGTCTAAATATTTGGCATAGATGATTTTGTTTTTTATAACATTTTTATTTTAGAAATACATATCAGAGAAGTAGGTATACATAGAATCGAGTAAATATAATATCACATTATAATATGTACATGTGATGGTCAACGGGACTCGAGCCTAGGTAATTAAACAAAAAGTTGCTGCTACATTATAATTTGCTGTGTGTATTTTTTTTAAATTAAAAATTGTATACAAATGTTGGTCATAGCAATTCTACGTTGTACAGTAATAGTATAGTACTTTCGATTTTAAAACCAATACTACTCTTAAGCGTTGGAGTTTTCGCAAGAGTTCGTCCAGTGTCACATGAGTTATATTACAAAAAAATATTATATTTATATATATAAAAAAAAAATACAATAATTAATCGCTCTTTGACTCCAGTTTAACAAAGGCTGTTCCCGGAGGTCACATAAAGGAGGGGGGGGAGGTAGGGTTCACGCGAACATGGCCGCGTGCACGGCCGCGTTCTCGTCCATCTTTTGCTTGAGCGTGTCGTAAGTCGTGTGCCGTATCTCGATGTCCTGTTTGGTCGAGTCCGTGGCCGCGTCCAGCATATTCCTCAGGGCGACGTCGATGCCGCGCGCACCGTATCCCAGTAACGGCACGTCCTGTATGGCCTTCGCCAACTGGTTGTAAGCATCGCCGCCCATCCTGCACAATTTCAGCACCGCGCTGACGCCCACGTCCCACGCGAAGTTCACCGACTCGCCGGTGGCCAACACCAGCCGGCCGACGCCCCGCATCATCTCCTCCGACGCCTTGACTGTTTGCTGCAGCAGTTTCCGCAGAGCCACGTCCGGTTTCGTCAGCTGCATCGTCGAGCCGTTGTTTTGTTCGACAGCTTCCGGCTGTAGCACGGCCGCTTCCGCCGGAACGGCTTCCGGCGTGTCCACCGGCATCGAGCGACCAATCTGAGTAAAAAAAAAAAAAAAAATAATAAATGCATGGCAAACCGCTAAATGCTAACTAACTCTTAAATCATCGATATGTTCTCAACATAACTCCCCTCGCATAAGCGGCAATGAGATTATGACCAAATCTTGGACGCGCAAAATAAGTCAATCGCTAATTACAAAAAGCGGACAAGTCCACTTTCCCTAAGTGTTCAGGAAACACAAAACACTAAATATTTAATGAAATAGTAAACATACGATTTGGAAAATTTGCCATGAATTTTGAATAGCCATTATCAAAATACATATTTAGTAAGAAAAAAAAAATGTCAACAGTTTTTTTAAAATTAATTTTCCCTAAGTCTCCTTTTCTCATGTCTCCTTTCTGCAGTAAACATGTACTCTTTGAACCATAGAAACTATTTTTTTTTCTAAATAAAATATCTGAATATTTTGTTTTATGTATTATTGAAGTTTAAAAATTATGAATGCCATAGTATATTGTATAAAATAATGGAAATTGGTTTAATTAAGCAATATGCTAGTTCATCATTTTGATCGGTTTTTGAAGGACATTCACTTATCGTCTTCCAGAAACCACTATACTCTTCAGGAATAAACTTAAAGGTTTTTTGATATCACCCAAATTCTTTTAAATGACTCATTTATTTAAAAATAATTGAAACGATTTACAACGAGTCCTTTACTATATACTCGCACTCTACTATGAGAAAATAGTAAAAGTTTTAATCGCATTTTTAAATATCATCATCGGCTTAACAGGCCTGTAAGACCCAACGCTCATTGTTTATTGACCTTCGTGCTTTTCAAGTGCCAAAAATAGCATTATGAAAAAAATAGATTTGTATTAAACTATTTAAAAGCTTAATTAAATCTTATTATTACAATAAAGAATGTTTTTCTGGTATTTATAGTAAAACATCGTTACTTGAAACAATGATTACCCCATTTAGTTTATAGCACATACATTTTATATCAGAGTTGGCACTTGGAACTGTCATTAACGAATTTGTATTTTTAACTATTACGAAATGAATAATGTAATAGAATACTGTCCGGTTATAAGTAAACTGTAGAAATATGACATGTGGTTTTATACCAAATCATCAAGAGTATTTTTACGAATGTAATATTTTTGTTGCCTGAAAAAAAAATGTTCGGCTCTTGGAACCGTTTTAAATGTTTATGTTTTTATGTATAAGAAATAAATAGTGAATTAAATATGTATAAATTATCCAAACACTCTATGTACATACATATTATAAGGGTGGCTGTTATTTTGGACTTTGTCACGAATTTTTAATTTTACATTAAGTTTTTTAAGATGAAATAAAAATACTCCCGAAATGTCATTGTTGTATCTCAATATTGGATAGATCGTACGACAATTTCAACAAGATCCGCGGGGCGTCACGCAAGCTTCGATTCGGGTTCTTGTACAAAGGTAGAGTGGGCAGCCAATCGTGGACCAGAATTGGCCGATGATCGTGTGATGATCCAAAGTGATCTGTCGTCTTGTGACGAGTACTAGTGTACTAGGTCTTCGTCTTCGTCCGAGGATTCGGCCGACAACGCAAAATCCATCGACCCCAGTTTTTATAGTTGACGTTAAACTCTTTAGCCTGCGCACTGTTCACCATCGCCACGCTGTATACTTCATTGTCGCTGACACCGTGTGAACGTAGACGGACAGACATTCAGAGTCCAAGTAATCCACGGCTGTTATATCTGCGATGTCGGGAGGCCATCACCATGCCGACTTTCGGAGTGAACATCATACGATTTTTATCTGTGCCATCGTAAGCCGTTGACAAGGTGTGCATGATGTCATCTAACACAGTCGGACCTTGGTATAAAGCTCACCGGGCGACACAAAGTGGCTAAGTCAGACGTGGTACATTTGGTTCATCAGCTCGTTTTCCACTTGTTCGTTTCTGTAGGAATCCGTGGAGTCGTGTCCGAAAAAGCACAATGCTTGCAATGCGCAATGCACTTCAAACACAAGAGGTTTTACATTTTTTTAAATTCATTTTTCCAGTAATTAAATATTTGCTTATTGTAACTATGTACTTGAATGTGCTTATTTGTCACTGAATAGTATTTAATAATTAATTGATGTACCGACACTAATTTTCTTACTCGCACAAATTTTAGACTTGAAATACATGCGCATTCGCAGTTTTGACCTCATAGTTTTTACTAGTATTATTCAATTAGCTATTTTTTTTTTTTATTAATGATTCAACTAAATGTCTATATTATATATATGAGGCGAACAGCCAAATGAGACCTCTTACTAATAATTTGTTCTTCTCCTTCCAGTCATAGTACAAAAAAACTAGACGCATGCGCAAAAGTGTAATGTGGAGAGAACTTAATCACTTTCAATTATTTTTATTATATTTTAGAATTTATACAATTTGGAATGATTTAAAAAAAATGCAGATCTATTTTATTTGTCGGTAAAAAAAAAAAAATTTAATTGATTCTGAAAATACCAAAGTTTATTTTAATTTAATTTATCTTATTTATTCATAGGGTTCAATGAGAGACCGTTAAGTCACATCAAGAAATTTTTGTTGATAATCGTCTAATATTTGAAGAATGAACTGTTTTTTTTCTCCATACCTTGTCAAAATCTTATTATAATCTATCATTCGGCTGACTGTTCTCATCATTCACCAAGATCACCCTTAGGTCTTTAACGTTGGTGAGATCTTCCTTGTAATTTTCGTCTTCGTCCAAAAAGTATTCACAAAGGAGGGTGTTTTTTAGAAAATATTGATTGATTTTGAATTGTTCTAAAAAGTTGTAAGAGAGAAGGTTTACGAAAAAGGGGATTTGCTTATTGAAAATTTTTTTAAAAAAAAAATACGTTTTTTTTATATTTATCAAGTAAATTCCTGAATTTAAGATAACGTTTATCAAAACTATGCGAAAACAAAGTTGTTTAATTTATATTAGTTATTAAATTTTTTGGAACAAACATTCTGTACATGAGTTTTTAGGTTAGATTGTTGACTAAAGTTTTTTGTGCAAATGAAAGGTTTTTCACCTGTATGTACCCGTATGTGATTTTCAATATCACTTTTTTTTTTAATGTTTTCTCTTTTGGTACTATAGATCAGTTACAATCTTTGCTTTTTTTTATGATTTTTAGAATGATGTACATCAAAATTTTTACTTTTAAGACGTTTTTTGAGTGAGCTATTTTATTATCACTTGGAAAAATTGCAGGATTGACCAACTGTCAAAATGTTTTTTGTGGAAGTTATTAAAATTAATTGTTTTGCTTTTAAAATAGAGGTATTTTTGTTTTTTGTTCTTTCATTTTTTATTTAGCTTTTTAAATATTTCTGTTGCTAAGACAAAATATTTTATTGTTTTAATATAGTAGACAAGTTTAGGCCCAAAAATATGTTAAATAACGTTTTATACAATTTTTTTTAAATATTATTATACATTTTGCTGTTGTGACTTAAAATATAAAAACAGTTAAATCATGATTAATACACAAAACATTTAATAAAACAACTAAACCTGCGAACTTTTTGTTTAGTGTTAATATAAAAAAAAATTAAACTCAGGCGTGCTTTGTAAAGTTTTACGTCCTGGGTTTAATGTTTAAATACAAGGCTACATTTTTTGTTTATTAGAAAATAGTTAAGCGACACTGTAAAATTTGTAGTACATCTACGTATAATTTATTGTTAATTGTGCTGGTAAAAAAGCTAGTAAAAAATAAAAAACGCATTGTGGTTATTTTGTTTAACGTTACTACGTTTAAACGACCTACTTGTGTACCTGTCATTGAACAACTTTTTTTTATCATTTTTTCTTCAGCCTTATTTAATTATAATGATATCATTGTTATAACTTAATTGTCAAACTATATTATTTTTCAATAAGGATTGCAAACAAAGCATATACGCAATACACCGTTAATTAAGTCATTATTTACACATAAAAAAACGCCTATTTAAATTTGTCAAGAAAATTAGGGCGACAGCTAATGATCGAATTACACATTTCGTATCGATTGTATTTTTTTTGTTTTGTTATGTACAACAAAAATACATTGCAGTCGCTCCGAAAAATTGGCTAAAAAATTGTATCATAAATATAGAAATTATTTTTTAACACTTACATATTTTTCCCCAAAACTTTAATTTGACAGATAATAATTTATTATTATAATACGATAATAAGTGTTAGAACTGTTTCTTATTTTCAATATTATACACATGTCAATATTGTCCAGAAATTGTACCTATTCACTGGAAATAAAAATTTTTCAACTCTATTATAAAAGTTGTATGTAAAATGATTTACTTATTTTTTAAAGTGCAAAAAATATACGTTTTAGCACGATAAAAACAAGTTGATTCATCAACAATGGGTGCTATATTTTTAATAATAGTTTATTTATTTGTAACATTTTTTAACGATTTATGAAATTAAACATAAAAATTAGTAGACTAGTAAATAAAATGTATTAAATATTATGCAAGCAAACGACGTTTTTTTTTATCCCGGTATCGCTTAGATTGGGAAGGGAAAGCTCTCGCTTTGCTTCCCTCCAAGTACCTATACCAAGTTTTAAACGTAATAAGTAAAAGATTTTTGGTTTAAAAAAAAAAGAGTGATCATTTTATCGTGAACCACTCAATATCTCATAAGGTCAATAAGAAATGTAATTTTTTTTTCATATTTTTTTTATACAATTTTATTTTACCCCTTCTCCCAACTTGGTTTTTTTGATAGCAATTATTAACGCATACATTTCATGAGCTTCTTAAACTGAGAATATTGAACTAAAACTGTTGACTGGTTGAAAAACAGTTTTGAACAACTATTTTTAAAGTTATAAGAGTTTAAAGGTTAAGATGTGAGAGGAAGTGCGGGCAGACAAAAATAATACTACAAATAACTTCAACTAACTTCAAAAATAGTTAACCATCACTGAATTTACAAAAATTGAATCAATTTGAAAGTTGGTCAATTTAAATTTGGGCTTCTTCTTTTATAAAACTATATTATGCAAAAACAGTATAGTATAATATGATTATATGGTCATGATGCATGATGGTATAGTTGCTATACGATCAAAAAAGTGCGATTTAAATTTATTTGATAAAATTAATATCATTTATGATAGTTGTTCACAATTAATTATAAAACTTTTTGAATTAGTCTTCAATGAAAAAGAACGCCCATGCCTTTAGCAAGAACTATACAATTACGTTCGGCATTAACATTTTTGGGGAGAGGTAAAGTTTTGGAATAACTTAATTAATACAATTTTACCAGAGAATTTTAGAAAAACTTACTAGCAAATGATTTGTTGTAACGATACAATCATGTATTTACTAATAAATGTAAGTTAACTACATGTATATCTTATTATACATTTTAAGTGTTAAATAATTACTAGGTTTATGCTAAATAACAATAATAATAACGAATCATTATTGTTATTCTTCTATTGTAATATTTTGAAACTAACCTGTGATTTTGAATAGTTATTAATTTTCTATTCAAAGCTAGGAAGTTCCTAAATATTATAAATATATTTTTAGGTAACTATGTGGTTATTATAAAAATTATAACGTATTCCAGGATAATTGCTTAAAATAAAACCTATTTTATAAAATATGTGACTCGTGTCGACATACATAAGTGATTCCATTATTATTTTATATTTATAATTTAAAAAAAAAAAAAATAGAGAAACTGTATGTTTGGTAATTTTAATCAGAACTATTTATAAGGTAGTATTCCAGAGTTTACGGTGAAATATTATTGTGTTTGGTATCAAGCGGAGAAAATAGAAAAACACATTTCAATTTTTGTAAATACCGTTTTTCACTTGGGCGGGACAGGTAATAGTCCTATTCGAAAACGCTCTTAACTTATTCAACTAAGTCAACGGTCTAAAAGCTACAAAATAGGCTTTCAAAAATCTTTTGCAATTGGTTGTAATCAAATTGGCCAAAAATAAAGTTATTTACGATTACTTTGTTTATTGGTTTGATTACTTTTTTTTTAACTCTGGTGAATATTATTTGGCAAATAATATAAACCATTTTTGATGCGTTGAAACGCTTTTAGTTTCTGTCCTGCCGTGATTTAATATTACATTTAGGTAAGGAAATAAGTCCGCCAGCTGTTAGTGCCTGATAATGACACAAAGCCAAAACCCTAAAAATTATATCAAATTTTTTTAACGCGAACAAAAAAAGATTTCATTTTTCGAATTTGTTTGGTCAAATGTTTTTGCCCAGCAGCTTTTACGGGTTTCCCGATTTATTCGTGATTTTTGGACTTATCCCCTTTTATTTTTATTTAACGATTCAATTGTGTACAATGTGGCATACGTACGCGAAACACGGTAGCCGCCATCAAGCACGTTACAGCAATGGAAAACATCTAAGACCGTCGTTTGTCGCACAGCTGATGACGTCGATGCCGAACAAAAAGTTTGTGTGTATACATACGACGGCAACACCAGAAACGTTTGTGTACCGACACGCTATGGCTGGTGCGACCTGTTGATGCGTTTGTCGTTGTTATTGTTTTAATGTGTTTTTACATTTTTTTTTTTTTTAAACATTAATTTTTTTAATATCGTCGGACCACATGTGATTTTTCCATACACACGCGCACAACGAACATACCTGTTTTGATCTAGTTCGGTTGTGTCAATACCACAAAAAAACAATTGTTCAATTATTGTTCGACATAGTTGTGTCGTCTTCGTGTTGGCAGTTACAAAATAAAAAAAGGCGAATGACTGGTTTAAAAAAAGATTATAAAATGCGGTAATTTTGCCACGGCTTGTCACCGCACGTTGACACATATCCATTGACACGATACGAAAAACCTGTCCACAGTAATAATGGATGGTGTAAGGCCGAAACGATTAGCGACTTTGGCAAACACAAAATTAATTGACGGTTAATTGCGCACGTCAGTATTACAATAACGACATTTATTTTTGCCCAATATAATCGAAATAGTTTATTATTAATTATACTATTGTTATTCGTTAATCGTACAATAGGCCTCCAATATTGGCAAAAAATATTATATAATAAAATACGGAATTGTTTATAAACTAATCAATTTATTATTTATTTAAACTATTAATTAGGCATATTATTTAGTACTTGTTCCTGAAATACAAAACATCATATATGGCGAGATGTATGCGTAAACTAAGAAAACTCTTAATCACGATTCTATTATGCAAATTTGGACATAACTAACTAGGTAGCAGAAAGTAGCAAAATGTGTAAACATTATTTTGCTCTTGAAACCAGTGTTGAATTCAGACAATTTTTCTAGGGGGGGGCACTATGAGAGGTGGAATAAATATAATACAAATTCCACAAAATAACTGTACTTATATTTATAAATATATATGTATGTATAAAAACTAAAAGATAATTGCACCAACTTTTGGTAATTTAGCTTACAACTTAGCTAATAAAAACTTAATTCAAATTTAATATTTAAAAATGTATTAACTGTATAAAACTTATACGGCGATTTTTTTTGTACCATAAAAATCCATCACTACTTCGATGTACACATTTGGTGGATCTTGTCAAAATACTAATTTTAGGACCTTGCAGAGTTAAACTTAAATTTGATATTGCGCCTAATATTGCATCTAATCCACACAGGAGTATTACGAAACTTTCTTCCCTAAGACTTAATAAAATTTCACCGGCTAAAGATGCTAAATAAGTTGTAACTATAGCAATATAAGATTCTTCAATTGCATGAACTATTTTATAATGACTTAACCATCGAATTTCTATTGCTACGGGTATTTTTAATATTGGATCATTTAAAATTACTTGAACTTTATGAAGCAGTTCTTCTCGTTTAGTATACTGATGAAATAGTTTATAAATATCTTTTAGAACATAAAACACACGTTTATTTTTGGGAAATTTGTTGCACAAACTAGTAAATGCAAGTGATTAATATGTGGGCTCGGCAGTGTATATACATAGTTTACAAAAATTACCATCGTCGGTATAAAACTTATTATACCAACCTTTTTAAAATTTTCTCGTAAATTTACCATCAACGAACGTCAATAAAAGGCTAGGTGTCGGACGATGAAATTTTAAATCACATTTTTGTTCAAAACTTAATTTGTTCAAATTATCTAATAATAAGAAGTCCAAGATGTCTTTTTCCATTTTTTCCGAGGCGTGGAGTGACTTGACGACAGACGGAAACGGGCTGACGCCACGCAATGTACTATTTTTTTAATGAAACTCGTTTCAGTCTATAACAAATAATTGTACATTTAGAGAAAAAATCATGTTCTTAGGTAAAAAAATTTGACAGCATACGTCATATACAAATCCGAGTACTACTCAAAAAAAAAAATTTTAAAAAACTATAAAAAAAATAATTACACAATATAAATAAATAATTATCCAAAATTCAAACCAGATTGAACTTGCCTCTAATTACTTCTTTTTTTTAATGTTTTAAATACATTAATGGGCCAGTTTTTTTGTTGGATCCTTTTCTCTTTGCTGAAACGTCCGTTTTCCTTTTAGCAAACGATTGGCATCACAGCACCAGTAATTCACCAACAACATGATGATGGATTTGGTGATCTTTTTCGTATAATGTTCGTCATGATGTGAACAATGTAATTGTTTGGTATCAAATAACGTCAAACTATTTTTACTAATATTTCCGCAATCCATAATGAATGACATTTTGATGGTAGCTGTTGTCCGACATAAATCATTATTTTATGAATTTATAAACAGAACGACCTCGCTGGATATTTTAAACACAATTTATTATTTAGTTGATATTCTTGGGGTAAAATTAGTTCACGATTTTTTGATACTTGATCACTACAAATTTGCTTTAAACATTCTTTGAAAACATCCCGATTTAATTTTTTTGCTATAAAACCAGCTATATAAGTATGGGTCACTGTTGTTAAGTGTTGAGTTGTTTTTTCATTTCTTTACTGGCTTGTAATGGTAAATTAACTGCTAGTTCGAGTGACTTAGTATATTCTTGATCGCAAGTGAAAAAATGTTTGATAGAGATTAAGGAACCTTCTGTAAAATCCTTGCAAGAGATTGTGACGACACCAAATTGTTTAACAGCAATGTTTTGTAAAAACTAACAAAACAATTTATAATTAAATATTAACTTGCCTTTAATGGTAATTATCCAATTTTGATGCGTAGAAACTTTTACAACTTTATCAGTAGTGTTGTCAATTGTTACATTATTGTGGCTTATCTTTAATATAAATCATGATACCTATATATTTAACCTTCATGCGCTCGCGCCTCCTAAAGTTACACTGCCGTGCAATTCGGTCGTCCTTATTTTTTTATCATTTTCGTGAGTTATTCTTTATTTAAGGTGGATGTTTCCAAGTATTTAGTCAATTACCTCTAACACAAAATTGGAACATAAAAAATGTTGACCAAAAATGTTTATTTAAAAAATAATAGAAATATCCTTCATCCGCTCGCATGGACGGCAAATTGGCCGCCATCTGACACTACTGAGTTTGTGGCTATACTGAACTGCTGGGGTGGACTGGTTTGACCAAATTCGATCATATTCTATCGGAGAGATGTATAACTAGAGAATACATACCCTTCTCACCGCTTCCTTGGCACTTTGGACAATAATATTTGCAAAAATTTATAAGGACGGCCAATTTGCCGTCCGCGCGAGCGCATGAAGGTTAATCTAGATAAATCATTATATAAACCAGTATGAATAAATATATATAAATAAATTGAAATCATACTTTAATATATTGGAAATTCTTTACTCTGAAAAGATTAATTAACAAATTCACTATTCAGGGAATATTCCTAATTAATTATAATAATAACAAGCTATTAACGTGTTAAAAACGGGTTTTCTCAATATGTTGTTACATCTATAACTACATTAATTAAAATCTATTCATTATGTACAGAAGTATTTGTTTTATTAAATTAAAGGGCAATAAAAGTTTTAAAGGGAAAATTACTAGCAAACCCTGGTTTTTAATCATTTATTTCAATACATATATGTATGTGTGGTGCACCCAAATGAAATTAAAATTATGGAGGTTAAGAATAGGTTTATAAATAGAATTAAAAAACTATCAATATCAATGAACGTAATGTAACATTTGAAAAGACTTAAGCCATATCAAATCAGACTTTGACTTAAAAATCTGTCCAAACAGCCAATCTTTTTCTTCTACTCGTAATGTCTGCTACTTTGGTCTACATTAAATGTAGATTAAATGCTTTACCCAGCATATCGATGGTCCAAATTTGAATAGTAGAACCTTAGTCTTATTAATAAATTAATAACTCATTGCATGGTTCCAGCTGTCAGTGGAATTTCAGCTGTTTCTGTGCCTGCCACTCGGTCTGTACAAAATAAAATAATTAGAAACGTACAATTTACTTTTGTTCTAAATTGACCAGATTACCACAAGTCTTAATTGAAAATTTACAAACAATAATATAGAAAATATTTTATTAATGCCTTTAATATTTGCAATATTTGTTGAAGCGTATCAGACAATCTAGTGCTAGATAGACTTTCAATTGATTTAAATATTTTAAGGCGTCCTGATCGTTTAATACCTCAGTGGCGTGACTTCTGTGACCAGTAATCGATTTCATTTCGGAATAACCCAATTATCCAAGACCGCAACACAAAGACCAACTAAAGAAATTATGTGAAGTAAATCGTAAAAAAAAAAAAATTCAGACCAAGATGTTTTTATAATACGATCAAAAACTGAATCTCTATAATATTTTTAATAGATGTAAAACCATTTAAAATTATTTGACTGATTGACTGAGCCACAAACTACCATGTTTGAGTTAACGACATTTAAAACACTTGTAAACAACTCAATGCTTAAACGGTTTAACTGGTAATCTTTACTTTGTGTTCACTATTAATAAAACAACAGTTCAATAGACATAATTGATAAAAACATAATGACAAAGTAAAATTTAATTAAAATCTTGAAAACAATTGAACTTAAATAAACTTTTAACACAATTAACCTAATTATCAATTAACTATAAGTTACCGATGTCTTATTTTTAAAAATCCCAGCAGTAAAGGAGTGGTCGAATATATATATTTATAATATTTTAAAAATATTAGACCTTTCTTTGGCTACTGGAAATTTAAAAAATATTTTTTACATTTATTTATTGACCAGCAATTTAATATACTGTAATAATCGTGAATAAAAGTTTGACAAATTTAGGTAGCCAAATATATTTATATAATCATGTCTTAATTTTTTCCAGCTGGAATGAGTCTACAAAAGTAGATACCTAATTTATGCTGTACTTTTTGTTATTTTACTTTCTGTTACTTTTTTATAACTGAAATTATAACGGAGTATTTTAATAGCTACTTTTACATTACATAATGGTGAACATTGTTCTTTAAATGGCCTCTACGCTAGCATAAATTAAGGCGTATTGTATATGCAATTTTTCACTAAAACTTAACATTTAGCTAATATGTGTAAACGTACATATCAGTCTAGGCCTGTGCCGATGTACCGAATAATCGTTTTTCATGCTAGATAGTATCGATTAATCGATATAATTAAAACAAATATATATATCGATTAATCGGATATATCGATAGAATCGAATATCTATATTATCTAATATCGATATAATCTAATATCGATACCGATTTATCCTATTGCTTATTTGAT